GGAAAGTCCAATGCAGTAAAGAAAAATATTGCATAGGAACCTGGAATGTAAGAACCATGAACCTGGGTAAGTTGGATGTGGTCAAAAATGAGATGGCAAGGAATGGACAGGAATGGGCGAATTCAGTTCGGATGACCATCATATCTACTACTGTGGGCAAGAATCCCGTAAAAGAAATGGAGTGGCCCTCATAGTCAACAAAAGAGTGGCAAAAGCTGTATTGGGATGCAATCTCAAAAATGATAGAATGATCTCGATACGAATCCAAGGCAGACCTTTTAACATCACAGTAATCCAAGTTTATGCACCAACCACTGGTGCTGAAGAAACTGAAATTGACCAATTCTATGAAGACTTACAACACCTTATAGAATTGACACCAAAGGAGGATGTTCTTCTCATTATAGGGGATTGGAATGCTAAAGTAGGGAGTCAAGAGATGAAAGGAATAACTGGCAAGTTTGTCCTTGGAGATCAAAACGAAGCAGGGCAAAGGCTAATAGAGTTCTGCCAAGAGAACAAGCTGGTCATCGCAAACACTCTTTTCCAACAACACAAGAGACGACTCTACACATGGACATCACCAGATGGGCAGCATCAAAATCAGATTGATTATATTCTCTGCAGCCAAAGATGGAGAAGCTCTATACAGTCAGCAAAAACAAGACCTGGAGCTGACTGTGGCTCAGATCATCAACTTCTTATAGCAAAATTCAAACATAAACTGAAGAAAGTAGGAAAAACCACTGGGCTGGTAATATACAATCTAAGTCAAATCCCTTATGAATACACAGTGGAAGTGAGGAACAGGTTTAAGGATTTAGATTTGCTGGGCAGAGTGCCTGAAGAACTATGGATGGAGGCTGGCAACATTATACAGGAGGCAGCAACGAAAACCATCCCAATGAAAAGGAAATGCAAGAAAGCAAAGTGGCTGTCCAACGAGGCCTTACAAATAGCGGGGGAGAGAAGGCAAGCAAAATGCGAGGGAGATAGTGAAAGATACAGGAAATTGAATGCAGATTTCAAAAAAAATAGCAAGGAGAGACAAGAAGGCCTTCTTAAACGAGCAATGCAAAGAAATAGAGGAAAACAACAGAATGGGAAGAACCAGAGATCTGTTCAAGAAAATTGGAGATGTGAAAGGAACATTTCGTACAAAGATTACCATAATAAAGGACAAAAGTGGTAAGGACCTAACAGAAGCAGAAGACATCAAGAAGAGGTGGCAAGAATACACAGAGGAATTATACCAGAAAGAAATGGACGGCTCGTACACCCCAGGTAGTGTGGTTGCTGACCTTGAGCCAGACATCCTGGAGAGTGAAGTCAAATGGGCCTTAGAAAGCACTGATAATAACAAGGCCAGTGGAAGTGATGGCATTCCAGCTGAACTATTTAAATTTTTAAAAGATGATGCTGTTAAGGTGCTACACTCAATATGCCAGCAAGTTTGGAAAACTCAGCAGTGGCCAGAGGATTGGAGAAGATCAGTCTACATCCCAATCCCAAAGAAGGGCAGCGCCAAAGAATGCTCCAACTACCGCACAATTGCACTCATTTCACACACTAGCAAGGTTATGCTTAAAATTCTACAAGGAAGGCTCAAGCAGTATGTGGACCGAGAACTCCCAGAAGTGCAAGCTGGATTTCGAAGGGGCAGAGGAACCAGAGACCAAATTGCAAACATGCGCTGGATTATGGAGAAAGCTAGAGAGTTCCAGAAAGACATCTACTTTTGCTTCATTGACTATGCAAAAGCCTTTGACTGTGTCGACCACAGCAAACTATGGCAAGTTCTTAAAGAAGTGGGAGTGCCTGATCACCTCATCTGTCTCCTCAGAAATCTCTATGTGGGACAAGAAGCTACAGTTAGAACTGGATATGGAACAACTTACTGGTTCAAAATTGGGAAAGGAGTACGGCAAGGCTGTGTATTGTCTCCCTGCTTATTTAACTTATATGCAGAATTCATCACGCGAAAGGCTGGGCTGGATGAATCCCAAGCCAGAATTAAGATCTCCGGAAGAAATATCAACAACCTCAGATATGCAGATGACACAACCTTGATGGCAGAAAGTGAGGAGGAATTAAAGAACCTTTTAATGAGGGTGAAAGAGGAGAGTGCAAAATATGGTCTGAAGCCGAACATCAAAAAAACGAAGATCATGGCCACTGGGCCCATCACCTCCTGGCAAATAGAAGGGGAAGAAATGGAGGCAGTGAGAGATTTTACTTTCTTGGGCTCCATGATCACTGCAGATGGTGACAGCAGTCACGAAATTAAAAGACGCCTGCTCCTTGGGAGAAAGGCGATGGCAAACCTAGACAGCATTTTAAAAAGCAGAGACATCACCTTGCCAACAAAGGTCCGTATATTTAAAGCCATGGTTTTCCCATTAGTGATGTATGGAAGTGAGAGCTGGACCATAAAGAAGGCTGATCGCCGAAGAATTGATACTTTTGAATTATGGTGCTGGAGGAGACTCTTGAGAGTCCCATGGACTGCAAGAAGATCAAACCTATCCATTCTTAAGGAAATTAGCCCTGAGTGCTCACTGGAAGGACAGATCGTGAAGCTGAGGCTCCAATACTTTGGCCACCTCATGAGAAGAGAAGACTCCCTGGAAAAGACCCTGATGTTGGGAAAGATTGAGGGCACGAGGAGAAGGGGACGACAGAGGACGAGATGGTTGGACAGTGTTCTCGAAGCTACAAACATGAGTCTGACCAAACTGCAGGAGGCAGTGGAAGACAGAAGTGCCTGGCGTGCTCTGGTCCATGGCGTCACGAAGAGTCGGACACGACTAAACGACTAAACAACAACATGGACTAAAAATATAAAATTCACGGCTTGTTTCCTTATAAGGGAAAATCTTATGAAAATGTACTATAGGTGGTACCTGACCCCTGTAAAACTTGCAAAAATAAATAAATCAAACAATAACAAGTGCTGGCGATGTAAGGAACAGATAGGAACATACTACCATATGTGGTGGTCCTGTCTAGAGATACAAAGATTTTGGAACATGATTTATGAAGAGATAAAGAGATTGATAAAAACTACATTTAGCAAGAAACCGGAAGAATTTTTACTAGGAATGGTTTCAGATAATATTCCCAAAAACAAAAGTAGGTTATTTATGTATGCAACGTCAGCAGCAAGGGTTATAGTGGCAAAACACTAAAGAGGAATTGGTAGTCAAATTGTGCGAGTACTTGGAGCTCGCAAAGCTGACAGATGCAATAAGAGATAAACCTAAAAAATTGGTGAAAGAAGAATGGGAATGTTTAAATAATTATTTAGGGGACAAGGGCTCAACAAGAAAGATCCGGCTATGTTTAGAATGATACCGCATAGAGAAATGTTCCCTGATACCTAGATGAGGGATTCCTTTGGAATGCAGATAGAGATAATTGATAAGAATAATGATCTGTTGTGAGCTTGACGGAAGTGTACAATAGATGAGCTTTCCTGCTTTGGCTCATCTCCCTTTTTCTTTTTCTTTTTTTCCTCTCTTTTTCTTTTTTATTTTCTTTTATCTTTCCCATAGTTGCTTATGTTCTGTGTCATGTACTTCGATATTTTTTGTAGGTTTTTTTGGTAGGTTTTTTTCAGTACTATTAAGGAATTTTCCTTTGTAATTTTGGTTGTCTATATTTATATGTACCTGTTTAAAGCAAAATAAAAGTTTTTTTTTAAAAAAAAACCCTTTTAAAAAAAACCCACAACAAAACAATACATACAAAAAACTGTAAAAATTACAAACACTTCTAAATCAAACAAATTCCTGAGCCCAACCAAATATCCATCCCACTCCCCCCAAAAAAAAATCAAAAGGGAAAAAGAAAATTTTAAAACATTTTAAAAGGAACTCTGCCCTCCTGGACAGCAGCAGGAGTAGCAGCAACCGTCCTTATGAGGCCTGTCAGGCCCAGCCCTGGGCCAGGTGGTGAGTGGCAGGAGCAGGGCCCTCCAGCACTCACGCAGGGGCCTTGCGGCTACTGTTGCGTATAAATATAATGTCTTTTCTTCCTTTAGACTTCATGGTACTATTCTCAATAGAAAACCTTCTGATGTTTTCCTAAATGAGTATCTGAACCTTTTTTTCATTTCATTACATATTGTTTCCCAAAATTGTTTAAGGTTTAAACAATTCCACCATATATGCATCATAGTACCTTTTTCAGTGTTTCATCGCCAGCAGACATCACCACAATTTTTATTCATTTTTGCTATTCTTTCAGGCGTTAAATACCATCTATGTTGTATTTTAATGTAATTTTCTTTTAATATATAACACATAGTGAATTTCATATCTTCTTTCCACAATTTTCCCCATTGTTCAAGCATAATATTTTCCCCAATATCTTGTGCCCATTTAATCATGGATGCTTTAACCAGTTCATCATTTGTTTCCCACTCTAAGATCAGATTATATAATTTGTCACGGCTGAAATGGCCGCTGTTTCTTTAATGTGAATAAAGCTGGGTCAGCATGACTCAGCGGCCTGCAGCAGGTTGTATATATAAAGTGAGAAATGTTAGTTTGTGCTGAGGCTGGTGTTTGGGTTGGTTAGTGCTGGTGTGTATAGTTATTCAGTTGGGTTTTGCACAAAGACTTTTAAGAATAAAACTCTGCAAGGATATTCTCGTGGACTCTTTTATGCAGACAAGGGTCCGAGGACCAGGCTGAAGAGACAAAGGGAGGTCAGAACCCTTTCCTTCTTTTTTTGCTTTTTACAAACACTGACAGGTTATGGGCCCAGTGTTTCTGAGCATGTGCAGAGTGCAAAACGACTGACAGCATCTCAGCAGGGAGCTGGTGAGTCCTGGTGGTGTATGGAGCCAGTGGCTGTGCATTGGAACAGTTGGTGGCAAGCTGTAACTGTCTGCAGCGACGCTGGTGCGGCTAGGATCTGAGGATCAGGAAAGCACTCAGTGTCGGCTACTGGAACAGTTTGAACTACTAGAGGACCACAGTAGGCGACTCACAGAACGGCTACACCAGTTGCAGAGCCAGGCGGGACCTGAGGGTCAAGAGAGGCAGCAGCTAGAAGCCGGTGAGTGCCAGCCAGGACCATCCAGTCGGACTCTAAAGAGAGAGTCAGGAGAGATTGCTGGAGGCCCCACAGAAGGGGCTCAGCAAGCACCAGCAGAGATGGCAGATTTCCAGTCTTCCCAAGTTGTAAATATTGGGGGAGGCATCCCTTTTGAACTTCTCTCAGAAAGCAACTGGCTGAGTTGGTCAATTAAAATGCAGCAGTTGTTAAGGAGAGATGGACTATGGGACTGTGTTGAAACTGAGGTTTTGAGACGGGACTCTGCTGAGAAAAAATGGCTGGATGAAAGGGCTCGTGCCCAAATTATGCTGTGTTTGAGCAACTCTCAGTTATTTCACGTAGCAAATGCCAGTACAGCGTTTGAGTGCTGGAATTTATTAAGGGCAATGCATGCCAGAGAAACTGCTGGAACTATAATTTCTCTGACCAGAAGGCTGTTCAGGACTGTTATGAAAGAAGGTGAGAGTTTGGCAACTCATCTTCAAACACTAAAATCTCTGTTTCTTCAACTACAACAGAGAGGTAAGCGTTATGAGACTGACCAAACCTACATTATCCTTTCAAGTTTGCCTGACAGCTGGTTGCCTGTGATTAACAGCATGGAGAGTATGCGTCCCCAAGATCTGACCCTTGAGTATGTGGTTGGAAGATTGACCGAAGAAGCAGAAAGAAGGTCAGATAGACAGGCTGAACTCCAAGAGCAGAGGAGTTACAGTCGAGGGGGCCAGCAGCAGAATCTGCCAATGGAGCAACGGCAAGGTTTGGACTTGGCCATGGCGGTGAGGAGGTGCTATAGATGCAACCAACCCGGGCATCTCCAACGTCAATGCAGGGCTAGTCTTCCAGGAGACGACGTGGAGCAGAGACAGCAGTCGACGCAGAAACGTAAGCAGAAGGGATTCTCTTCAGGGAAGAAGAACACGCGTTCTGCTCAGTTTGTGTCTGCGTTTTCTCGAGAGGAGAGAAAGATACCTCGAGGAACATGGTTGCTGGACTCTGGGAGTAGCAGGATTATCTGCAACAGTCGGGAGGACTTTAAGACCCTGGAGAAGCCAGCTGATGGAAAAGACTCAATCTATCTTGCTGATGGTCGTAGAAGCAAGATTGATGGCCAGGGAACATGTTTCCTGCAGTGCTTGAACACTATTCTACCAGAGACTCTGTTTGTCAGCAGTTTGGACTATTGTTTGCTGTCTGTAAGCTGTTTGATTAATGCAGGGTATAGTGTTAACTTCACACGGGATGGCTGTCTGATAAAGAATGGAACTCAGGTATGTGGCCATGCAAAGTTGGAAAATGGGTTGTATGTAATGCAGGACAAGCCTGTTAAAGCAGCCCAGGTGGTTCAGGATAATTTGCCAGTTCATAAGGGGTGTGTACATGAACTGCACAGAAAACTGGGTCACGCCAATTTCCGTGTGCTTTCAGAAATGCAAAAGGTGTGCAAGAATCTAAAAGTAAATAGCTGTAACTGTTTCCTAGATTGCAATGTATGTAAAATGGCCACATCTAAGAGGAAGCCTGTGGCTTCTAAAAGTGACAGAGTATCTAAAGAGGTTTTAGAACTTGTCCATTGTGACGTGATAGGCCCTTTCCCACAGAAGACTGAAGGGGGCACCAGATATGCTTTTCTGGTAGTTGATGATAAATTATAAACAAACAAACAAACAAACAAACCGCACCACAGGGTAAGACTCCCAAAATCGGTTAAGACAGACCTTGAGATCTGGATCACGTTTCTGGAACGCTACAATGGAGTCTCCTTATGGCAGGAAATCCTCAACCTGTCCTCAGATTTCCAGGTTCACTCTGATGCCGCTGGGTTCTTGGGCTTCAGTTTATTCTTTAGGGGACGCTGGTGTGCTCAACAATGGCCAGCAGAGTAGCAAGGCGAGGCAATCAAGCGGGATCTCACTTTTCTGGAGTTTTTTCTCCTTAGTTGTGGCTGTTCACATTTGGACTGAGGAGTTCCAGAATCTCTGGGTGTGCTTCAGAACTGGTCAACATCGCGTTCCGAGAGGGTGTTGCGCCAATCCGATCATTCGTCCTTCGGTGCCTCGCTTCCGAGCATTAGCTCCCAGGGCTCAGCCACTGCCAGAACCCATTCCGGAGCACCTGTGGAATCTTGGAGATGTGAAGTGATTAAGGGAGTATTAGCATCTGTCGCACCCTCTACGCTTAGATCATATAAGAAGGTCTGGTGTGATTTACTGGGGTTCAGGTCCAAAGTATCCTCCCTTTCCACTAATGTTACACCCTCCACAGAAAACGTTCTGCAATGCTTAACACACCTTCATGGCCAAGGTTGAGCCTCGAAAACTTTGAGGATACACATAGCCGCTATCACATTCTTTAGTAGACCCATGTTTTTCCACCGATTCGTGCTGTGACTTCATGGTCCGTAGGGCAATTGAAGGTTGGAGTTGACTGCAGCCTCCAAGTAACAAAGGCCACAAGCCTATTTCTTACGAGCTGCTGTCCCAAATCCGTATGAAACTTAGGTCAATTTGCTGGTCCAAGTTCGAGGCCTGGGTGTTCTCTGCGGCATACGTTATAGCCTCCTTTAGGCCGGGCCCCCAAAACTTTAAAGATACACGTAGCTGCCATCAGCTTCTTTTGTAAAGCCATGTTTTCCTCCGACCCGTGCAGTGACTTCCTGATCCGCAGAGCTATTGAAGGTTGGGGTAAGCTGAAACCCCCTAGAGCCGAGGGCCATAAGCCAATTTCTTACAGGCTGCTCTCTCAAATACACATAAAGCTTAAGTCGATCTGTTGGACCAAGTTTGAGGCCCGCCTCTTTTCCGCAGCATATGCTAAGCCAATTTCTTACGGGCTGCTCTCTCAGATATGCACAAAGCTTAGGTCAATCTGCTGGACCAAGTTTGAGGCCCGCCTTTTTTCCGCTGCATATGCGATCGCCTTTTTGGCGCCTTGAGGGTCGGTGAAGTAGTAGCCGAGGTTAACGCAACTGGGTCAACGCACGGCCTCCTCATGGAGGACGTGCAGTTGTCCAAAGCTAGCACTACAGTGCGGATACGTTAATCCAAAATGGATCAGGCAGGTAGGGGTTCCCTTGAAAAACTTACAGCTTCAGAGCAGTGGGGCCCATGCCCGGTCAAGGACACTAGATGGTACCTTTACCTCAGACTGCCCGGTCCTGGCCCACTCCTGGTTCACGAGGATGGGTCACCTTTGTTGAGACACCAATTCACAAGGGTACTCCGCAAAGCTATTGATGCCTGTGGTTTATCTTCCCAGGATTATGCTGCACACTCATTCAGGGTCTGCCGGCGGATAGGATTAAAGAAATGGGCCGGTGGAAATCCGATGCTTATAAAGGTTACATTCGCTAGTATGCGCTCCGCTGCATTAACTCTACTTACCCGTCTTTCTCTTTCCTTTATTCTCAGCCGTTCTCAGAAAATGTGTTTGGATTTGCGGCCACAGTATAGTCCATTGGGCCTGTGTCGGCTAGCTGCGGCCTCACCCCTAATCTTGGGTTGCCACCTGGAGTGCGAGTTTCCTGGTTTTCGAGACGAGGCATGCGTTGGGAAGAGCTTGTGCCATTGCTGAGGGAGAAAGTCGCCATGTTTGGCCCTCCCGACATCCTTATTCTTCAATTAGGGGGAAATGACCTTGTTAACAGAAGAAGTGCAGACTTGTCGTGGAACATAAAAAGAGATTTGGATGAGATTGCTGCCTTGTGTCCTGAAACAACGGTGTTCTGGTCCTCCTTCCTGAAGAGAATTGTTTGGCGCGGTGCGCAGAACTGTATGGCCATTGAAAAATCCAGGAAACTCTTAAATTGTGCAATAGCCCGTTGGGTGCGCTTTATGAATGGCCGAGTCATTTCTCACGACCATATCCGGATTGGCGATCAGGCCTTGTACCGGAATGATGGGGTTCATCTTTCAGACCAAGGGAATGACATTTGGTTAAATAGCATCAGCAGCAGCATCAGGGATTGGTTACAGCTGTGAGGGTATTGGCGGCGAGCCTTTTGGGCTCGGGTGGCGGTTAGGCATTGGAATAATGTGTTGTGGTGTGTCGAAGGGCCAGGTGTGGCCATCGCCTGCGCCTTCAATTTTGGGTATTCCGTTAAAGGAATCCCGCGGTCGTGTATTCTGTCCGATGCCTGCGTGGCGGGAGGCCATGGCACGACCCTCGGTGACATCAGGGGAGAGCTTATAGTTGGATTAGCATCAACAGGCTCCACCTACTGGTGAATAAACCCCCGTTTTAGACTCACCCCTCTCTGAGGGGGTGGAGTCAGCTGACGTAATCCAATGCCTAAGCCAATACCTTTTCACTTGCTGTAATCAATAAAGTTGTGGCCTTTTCTTGCCCATTAACCTTATATCACGTGTCCTTGTGTTTTCATTCCACTACGCGGGGATCGGGTCCTCGAACCACAACTGTTTCCTAGATTGCAATGTATGTAAAATGGCCAAATCTAAGAGGAAGCCTGTGGCTTCTAAAAGTGACAGAGTATCTAAAGAGGTTTTAGAACTTGTCCATTGTGACGTGATAGCCCCTTTCCCACAGAAGACTGAAGGGGGCGCCAGATATGCTTTTCTGGTAGTTGATGATAAATCACGTTTTAGTTGGTTGTTTTTGTTAAAGCAGAAATCTGAGTGTTTCCCCACATTCAGAGAATGGGTTGCCCAAGCTGAAAAGCTCTTCACTCGGCCTGTTGTGCAGTTGCAAACAAATAGGGGTGGAGAATTTCTGAACAAACAATTTGGGACATGGTTGCGACGTAAGGGGATCACCCATCGTTTGACTAACCCTTATAGCCCTGCTGAAAATGGTCTGTGTGACAGACGTGGGGCTGTAATACAGTCAGTAAAGGACTGCCTGCTAGTGGATGCAGGACTGGGTCACAACCATAGGCTGTGGGGCGAAGCTTTTCTGACAGCGAACTTTTTGATTAATAGAACCTGGTCAAGCTCTATAAAAGATATACCTTATCGTGTATTGTTTGGGAAAGAACCAGAGTGGACAATGCTCCATAACTGGGGTGCTTGGGCACATGTAAATATCCCCAAAGCTCAGCGCCAGAAAGGGGGCGCTAGAGTGCAGAGACTGTGGTTTGTGGGATATCAGTCCTATGGCAAAGGGTGGCATTTCAATTTACGCCCAGGACGCGTGGTTCTGTCACGAAGCGCAGACTTTGCTGACCAGGACAGATGGACTGCGATCCATGCCAACCCAGATTGCCTACTGCCCCTACAAGTAAGAGAAGAGGCTTCTTCTCAGCCATTGGCAACACA